GTAGGTAAGTGCACCTGTGTTCTGCAATGCCTGTGGAAGACAGAAGAGGCTGTTGGATCCCATGGAACTGGAGCTACAGATAGCTGTTAGCTGCCATGTAGGTGCTGGGATTTGAACCCAGGTCTTCTGCAAGAACAGTCAGTGTTCTTAACCACTGAGCCATCTCTTCAGCCTCAATTTTAATGTTAGAAAGGAACACAGCACTTTAGAAGTTTATCTTGACAATCAAAATTCTTTCACTACCAGACAACTTAAGTGTAAATCAAATATCAAAACCTAACATCAAAGAATTCCTGCTGTAGAAAAAGATATCGCTTGATCAAATAAAGGCCACAGGGGAAAATTACACAAGTTAAATATAAGCTACATTTTTAAGTATTTCCACACTTAGAAAACTTATATTGGAAGTCAATATGCTTCCTTTCCAGACGCTTACTTAAACTTAACTTTGGGTACACCACACTTCACTGTCCACTTTGGATACAATTTAGGATGGAAATTCCGGAAATATAATGAATTAGTTCAATTCTTTTTTTTTTTTTTAATTTTTTGGTCTTTTTAAGACAGGGTCTCCCTGTAGCCCCAGCCAGCCTGGAACTCAAGAGATTGGCTGCCTCTACCTCCCAAGTGCTGGGATTAAAGGTGTGTACCACCATGCCCAGCCCGAGTTCAATTCTAATCCAACTTGCTGCCATTATTATTATTATTATTATATTATATTATATTATATTTCTAGGGGCTATAGAGATGGCTCGGAGGCTAAGAGCACTTCCTGCTCTTCCAGAGGACTCAGAGTTTGGTTCTCAAACATGTTATGCAGGCCACAACTATCTGTAATTCCAGCTCCAGCTCCATTAGATCTGATGACCTCTTCTGGCCTCTGATGGCACCCGCATACACACACATGTACCAGCATGTACAATTAAAAATAAGATATTGTGTGTGTGTGCATGCGTGCATGTGTGTGAAGTGCCCATGAAAGCCAGAAAAGAGCATCAGAATCCTCTGAAGCTGCAGTTTTGGTTGTGAACCACCCTATGTGGGTACTGGAAACTCAGGTCCTCTGGAAGCAAGCACTTTTAACCACCATACCATCTCCCCAGCCCTTGTCGGTTTTTTTTTTTTTTTTCTTTGACAGTGTCTCCCCATAGCCCCAGCTGGCCTGGAACTCATTATGTAGACCACGTTGGCCTCAATCTCACAGTGATCCACCCACCCCTGCCTCCCACGTGCTGGGATTAAAGGTATACACCACCATTCCTGGCTCCATTTTTATTTTAGTTTTTAATATTTTATTTATTATTCTTATTTTATGTTTGAGTATATTGTCTGCATGTGTGTAGGTGCACCCGTGTAGTACAATTCCCACAGAGGTCAGAAGACAGTGTTGCATCCCCTAGAACAGGAGTTAGGGATGGTTGTTAAGTCACCATGTGGGTACTGGGAATCAAATCTGGGTCTTCTACAAGAGCAGCCAATGATCTTAATCACTGAGCCATCTCTCCAGCCCCATCCATTTTTATTTTTAACCTTAAATTCCTTCATTTCTAAAACAGTGAAAACAGAAGCCTAGTTTTTTAAAAAAATCTTTTAGTCAACACTGTAGTAAAGATAAAATACAAGTGCAGTAAAACCAAATATCAGTGGTATAATTTTATAGTAAGATCAGCAAAGACTTGGACCTGCCTTTACCTCATACTGACTAAGGTGAAAACATGGTCCAGAGTGAGCGCTAAAAACTACTTATTCTCGTGTTACAAATGTGTAATGCCCTTGAGAACAATTACTTCCTGGATGAGACATTTACGGCTCATATTTTAAGTTCTCTCAAAATGAATCACAGTATTAGTATCAGATTATTTTCACAGAATTAGTCAGTATCAAATTATTCTCCCCCATGAATTCAACAAACTGTCAGCTAAGACACTGAAAACCAATACAATCACAGAATGCTCACCAACCACCTGAAAGCCACTCCTCACTTCCCAAATCCAATTCATTACGGAATTCTGTTCATTCTACTCCAATGAGTGCATCTCTCAGACATGTGGACCATTTCACTGCCCCAGTTAGTCATTTCAATCTAGGCCACCATCAGCTCTTAAGAAGACCAGTGCCAAAGCCTAACTGCCCCACTCTAATCTGTTCTTTATACACTAATGAGAATAATCACTGCACGATGTAAGTGGATTAAGTCACGACCCTGCTTAAAATCTCCCATGGCTTTCCACTGTCTTCAGAATGAAAAACCAATTCTTTTTAAAATTTTTTATGTGTATGAGCGTATTGCCTGCATGTGTTTAAGTGTACCCATGTTGTGCAGTGCCTGGGGAGGTCAGAAGAGGGCATCCGATTCACTGGAATTGAAGTTACAGACAGCTGTTAGCCACTATGTGGGTGCTGGGAATAGAACCTGGGTCCTCTGCAAGAGCAGTCAATGCTCTTAACTGCTGAGCCATCTCTCCAGCCCCCACCCCACCCCAATCAATTCTTATTCCCATCACTGGCATTCCCTAGCCTCTTCTCAGTTCACACCTACTAGACCAAGCCACACTTGACACTGTTCCACTAAGCTCTTGCACCTCAGGTCATCCTCAGCTACATAGAGAACTCAAAGCCAGCCTGGCTACATGAGTCCCTGACTCAAAAAAAAAAATCATTCAATAATAAGTAAAATTAAAGATTTTTAGAGCAAATTCATTAGTATGCACCATGTTGTACATAATCAGTTAATGCTCTGTATTATCTATTTTAATTGCTGTAAAAGCTTTTTAAAACCTTATCTTCTAGAACTCAAGCATACCTTTTAGTCAGAAGACACATTTGAAACTTTGTATAAATATGTTGTATATATGAATTCTTTTTCTTTCCTATTTGTTTACTTTGTTTTGTTTCAGTGTTAGAACTGAACCTAGTGCTTCATGAATGCAAATTTCTTAGGAGTGACTTAATTGCCTTATTATGAGTCCATTAGGAACAAGATTTGGACAAATAATTTCAGTCTCTAAAGGTCACTGTTCTTGACCATTTATCTTTCATTCTTGTCTTATACAACTTTGAACATTCAGTATGTTCTCTGTTGACCAGATTTGGCCAACTCAATAGAGTATACAAAGTGCTCAATGTTTTGGGCTTTAAAATAAGTTTTCTGGGGCTGGAGAGATGGCTCAGCAGTTAAGAACACTGGTTGTTCTTGCAGAAGACCCAGGTTCAAATCCCAGCACCCACATGACAGCTAACAACTGTCTGTAACTCCAGTCCTAGGGGATCCAACAGCGTCTTCTGACCTCCTCAGGCATTGCACGACACAGGTGCACTTACCTACATGCAGGTAATACATGCATACACATAAAATAAAAAATAAGTTTTCTTATTTATATTAACTCCTTAGCCAAGAGGACCTAAGCACCTGTTCTTTACTTCTGCTGTGTTGTGTAGCTGGTGCCTCTGGTGTCATGGTAACTATCTCAGGTCAGTTAACCATCAAGATTGAATGGAAAAGCAAACCTGATACATACACACACACACACACACACACACACACACACACACCAGCTTACTTCAAACTTAGGCATAATTATATGGGAATCAGACATGAAAAAGCTTGATATACTTATGAATCATACACAATGCCAAAATGTCATTTCAATTCAGTACTGTAACCCAGTAAGAATTCATATTGTCTGCTCAGCAATGTGGAATGTGGGCTTCTTATAAAAATGATCTCTGACCTAAATCATAGTAGTTGAAACATGTTATATATAATGCCTAAAAATAAAATTCAAAAGCTGGACTTGGTGGTGTACACACCTTCAATCACAGCACTTGGAAGGCAGAAGCAGCTGGATCTCTGAGACTGAGGCCAGTCTGGTCTACAGAGCAACTTTAGTTCCAAGCTAGCTGAGGCTGCAGGGAGATCCTGTTCTCAAAAAACAAAACAAACAAACAAACTCAAAAAAGGCACATTAATGATTACAGTCTCTTAAACATGTGCAAATTAAGTTTTAAAAAGTATAACCAGGGCTGGAGAGATGGCTTAGCAGTTAAGAACACTGGCTACTCTTGCAGAGGACCTGGGTTCAATTTCCAGTACCCACATGGTGGCTAACAACCATTCATAACTCCAGTTCCAGGGGATCCAAAAACCTCTGCCAACCTCCACAGGCATTGCACGACATGGGTGCACCTACCTACATGCAAGCAATATACTCATACATATATAATAAAAATAATAAAATATTTTTAAAAGTATAACCAAATGGAAAACTGAACACAAGTAACTATTAGCAGATATTATCTCCATTACTGTGCAACCCTCTGACCAAACGAGTAGGGGAACATGCTGGAGCACACAAAGATTCCTGTCTGGATTGTTCTGACTTTCACGGGCATTGCATGACAGGGGTATATTTACATGCCTGCAGGCAATACACTCATACTCATAAAATAAAAATAACATTTTTTTAAAAAGAATACTTTGCACACAGGTGCAGTAATCAGTGAGCATTAGGTAGTCAGAAGAAAAATGTGACAGTAGAGTACACATTTATGTCACAGCAGGCAAACTAACTCTGAAGAAGTGCAGGGAGTGACAAAAATATGAAAATAAAATTGTGACGATCCTGCAGTGGTCACCACAGGACCCACTTACAAATACCAGTTAAATTTTATTATCAGTGCTGTAGAAATAAAAATTAATGCACTTATATAAATTTAGAAAACAGAGTATCAAGTGATGTATCTATAATTTTATAAGAATAGGTAAGCTTTTAAGCTATTAAAAATCTGCCTTTAAATTATTTCTATTGAAAAATAACAGAAATTCTTTATAATCAAATTTCCTAATTTTTATCATAATTCAAAATATGCACAGTAGTATTTCTTCTACTCAATTAGTAGGTAAAAGACCAGCCATCAAAGCTCTGAAATTTCCTCCCAATAATAACAGCACGTACTAGAAAAGAAATCAGAAATTTAAATCTTATTTCATACCAACTTACTCTGACTTTTGGTAAGACTCTCCGAAGTGTCTCAGTAGGATTCTGTCGCATCAAAAATGGAAGATTTGCAATCACACTTGTTCCTTGGACATCTTGACCAGCACTTACGAAGAAAACACAAATACTTTAATTGATAACTAGAAGTTGGAGTTTTATGATTAAAATGGGTTAACTGAAAAATGACTGCCTTTAATGACTTCCTGCATAGTTTTAAACACATAGAGAGATAAAAATAAAATCAGGGGGCTGGAGATATGGCTCAGCAGTTAAGAACACTGGTTGTTCTTGCAGAAGACCCAGGTTTGAATCCCAGCACCCACATGACAGCTAACAACTGTCCGTAACTCCAGTTCCAGGGGATCTGACAGCCTCTTCTGTCTTCCACAGACACTGCATGACATGGGTGCACTCACATACACGCAGGCAATACACACATACACATAAAATAAACAAATAAAATATTAAAAAATAAAATCAGAAATTAAATTTTGTTAAATAAATCTTATAAAAATGCATGTAGGTACTAAAGTTATACTAAAATAGATCCCCTAGTTATATACATGTCATAAAGTTGTTAAGGCTATAATTAAATGCTTTAAAATTCTACCTCATTTTTCTCTATGATCTGCTAGTTTGCTATATTTATAAGATATATAAATGATAAAATGCTATTATGGTTGCTGGGCGTGGTGGTACACACCTTTAGTCCCAGCACTCAGGAGGCAGAGGCAGGCAGATCTCTGTGAGTTCAAGGCCAGCCTGGTCTACAAAGTGAGTTCCAGGCCAGCTGGGGCAATAGGGAGGCCCTGTCTCAAAAAGACCAAAAAAAAAAAAAAAAAAAAACCCAAAACAAACAAACAAGAACAACAACAAAAAACAAAGCCAACTTTATTATGGTAAAATAACAATCATAGCAACAGCTAAAATTAACTAGGCAAAAACACAGTTTCGAGTTATGAAACGACTTGTACTAGACTGACTCCATGAACTGCCAGAAACTTCTGAAAGACACACTCAAAGCTCTCACAGGTCACTAGGGTAGTCTTTGTTAAATATTTTATTTATTATTTTTATTTTATGTGTGTGAGTGTATTGAATGCATGTATGTAAGTGTACCTGTGTAGTGTGATGCCCCCAGAAGAGGGCACTGGATTTCCCTGGAACTGAAGTTAGGACAGTTGTTAGCTGCCATGTGGGTGCTGGGAACTGAACCCCCCAAGTCCTCAGCAAGAGCAGCCAGTGCTCTTAACTGCTGAGCCATCTCTCCAGCTCCTAGGGTAGCCTTTTTGACCTAACATTCTTTGAGACTTTACCAAAATTATTTCTGGGACATTGTAGAGGCCTAAATACTTTGGAAAACATGTTCATATTCTTCTGAAAAAAAAAAAAAAAACATTTCTATGAACTGCAACCTAAGTGACATAAGTTTTGCAAGTACTTGAAATATATTTTTTTAGATGTTTGGTAATAATCTGAGAGGGAAATCCCATCTATTCTTAACCAACACCAACCTAAAATCACCAATTACTGATGACATAACATTTATTTATTGGCTAAATTAATATTGCTTTTACTTCTCTTCAGATGGAATTATTCAGTTTTATGTGCATGCAAGCTTTTAATATGTTTTTTAAAAAACAGTTTTTTAATTTCAAGTTTCTTTTTTATTGAATTTTTGTGTATTTTATACAGAACATCTTAAACAATCTTAATCACCTTTATACCCCCATCCCCATTGGCACCCTCCCATAGCCTCCCCACTGGAGCCCATATACTCTGTCATCCCTGTTAAGGCCCACTGTGTCAAGTCAGTGTCCCCAGATGTTCCCCAATGCAAGTCCATCACTGAGGCCTAGTCAGCCTATATAGCTAGAGTCCCTTGTTTTAAGAAGATCAGCTCTTCTTCACCTAGCAGCAATTAGTTGCCAGTATTTTTTCAGATAAGATTGGGGTCTGCTGTTCATTTCCCCAGTTCTATGCTCGGTTACTGTCTGCCTGAGTTTCTATGGGACTTGTATATGCTGACACCATTGCAGAATCATACGAGCAGGTTCCCAGGAGCTTGTAGGACTCTGTTTCCAAATGGTCCTGTACCTCCTTCCTAGCTCTTACAATCTTTCCAACCCCTCTTCTGCAATGGACCCTGAGTCTTGGATGGGTGAAGTTTAATAAAGGAGTCCTGTCCAAGGACCACCATTCAGCAGACTCTTGATCACTATGCTTTGGTCATTTGTGACCTTTTGTGTTCCTGGCCCTCTGCTGCATGAGGGAGCTTCATTATTGAAAACTGAGAGATTCATTAATGTTCTTTTCTTTAACCCTGTTCTAAGTTCCATGAGCCTTAGGTATAGAGGTTACACTGTAAATATATCACTTAGGCCTGGGCAATTCATAGACAATGTCGGTATGTGACCAGTTGTGGTACTTGGTAATAGTCTCTAACTGGTGCAAAATGAGCTTCTTTGATGAGTGGTGACTGGGATATTTGTCTGTAAATATAAGAATACATATTCTGCACAAAGTAAGAAATCACATTATTCTAGGGATGTGACAGTCTTCTCTAAGACCTATGACCACTCCAGCCATGTGTATTTGGTTATGCTTACAGTACCACACTTGAATTTTCCTCCCCCCCCCAAATGGGTTTTTTAAGTAATATACTTTGGGGTATATGCTTAATTTTTTAAAAGATCATGAGATGAAAAGATCATCCTAAGTCACCCCTAAATCCGCAAGTATACTTAAAACAGTTACTCAGAGGAAAAGAGAGAACTGGAGAAGGTACTCTGACCACGGGTGGGGAAATGGGGGTGATGCAGTCACAAGCCAGGGAATGATGATACCACCAAGAGCTAAGGAGGCCAGGGATGGATTCATCCCTAAAGTTCCACTGATTTCTTGATTTGGGGATTCTGGTCTACAGAACTATGAAAAAAAAAATGTACTTTGTTGCTTCAGGTCACCCAATTTGTGGTCAATTGTTACAGTGGTCATATAAACAAATGCACTGCAGTTATGCTTTAAATGTGAGTGTTCTCCAGCTGAGGGAGCTATTTTGAAACACTGTGGAACCTTTATGAAGTGGACCATCAGGTCACTCGGGGAGAGGGGCCTGGTTCCTCTTCCTGTCTGTTCTCTGGCTCCTAAATGTAGAAGCAACGTAACAGCCACCTCACGCTCCTGCCACCACACCTTCCTTGCCACATCCACTGTTATCTGCTCAAACTCTAATCCAAAATAAACCCTTCCTCCTTAAAGTTGCTTATGGTGAGGTATTTGGCCACTGGGATAGCTTTAGTTGTCAATTTGACACACCTGGATAGAGGGAACCTCAACTGGAGAACTCCCCCCCCCCTTTGGACTGGCCTATGGCCATGTCTGTGGGGCATCTTCTTGATTATTGAGTTATGTGGGAGGGCCCAGCCCACTTCAGGCAGTGCCATCCCTGGGCAGGTTGTTCTTTATTGTATAAGAAAGCAGGCTGAGCAGGGACCAGGGGAGCAAGCCAGTAAGCAGCTTTCCTCCATGGCCTGTGCTTCAGCTCCTGCCTCCAGGTTCGTGCCCTGAGTTCCTACTTTAGGCTCCCTGATGAACTGTGACCCAGGAGATATAAGCCAAATAAACTCTTTCCTCCCCAAGTTGGTATTGGTCAGAGTGTTTTGTCACAGCAATGGAGAAACAAACTAGAACAGAAATTGGTACCAAGAGTGGGGTACTGCTGTGACAGACCTGACCTTGGTGTTTTTAGGAGGATTGTAGAAGTGTTTGGAACTTTGGGTTGGAAAAGCCATTGAGTGCTTAGAGCTTGTTGCTGTGGAGCTTGGGACAGTTATGCTGAAAGAGTTGTAGACATGGAAGCCTGGCTTATGAAAATTCAAAGGGAAGCAGAGACTATCAGAGTTGTTTGTCTGATATCTAAATTGAGTATCTTTGGTTCTGGACAGCTGGGGCTGAACAATCAGCTGTGATTAAAAAGAGACCAGAGACACTGATGTGAAACCTTTGTCTTACTCTGACAATTGATGCTGGTTAGCTGGGACTGAAAGTCAACTGTAAGTAACAAGAGACCAGAATCTCTGTGGCAAAATCTTCTGGGAAGTATTTCCTCAAGGTCAGTGCACAGAAGCTGTAGTTCAAAGGGGGCCTGAGTCTCCATCTCAAGCTGGAAGCAGTATTTGGTAATGTGTAAGAGTCTCCTGCATGGTTCTGGTGTTGAAAATGTGAAGGAGTGACGGAGAGCAGCTGAGGCTTGGCACCCTGAGAGGCCAGGAAAAGTCATTGGAAAAAGTGCAGCCTCAGTTGCAGTTAAAACAAAACAAAACAAAACAAAACAAAACAAAACAAAAAACCCACGGGGCTGGAGAGATGGCTCAGCAGTTAAGAACACTGACTGTTCTTGCAGAAGACCCAGGTTCAAATCCCAGCACCCACATGGCAGCTAACAACTGTCTATAACTCCAGTTCCGGGTATCCAACGGCCTCTTCTGTCTTCCATAGGCATTGCCCGACATGGGTGCACTTACCTACCTGCAGGCAATACATGCATACACATAAAATAAAAATAATATTTTTTTAAAAAAAAACAGAATTGAAGGGGTCATAGAGAGAATCTGAGGCTTTGCACCCTGAGAGGCCAGTGAAGGTGCAGCCTCAGTTTCAGTGGAGACCCCAGCTTTTTGGAGATGCCAGGACCATGGAACGACCACCAAGGGCAGTAGCAAGTGTGGAATGGAGCTGGCCTGGGACCATGAGCCGAGCTATGTGCGCTGTGGACAGGAGAGTCAGAGAAATGGAGTTGCCATAACCCTTTGGACCTCAGAAGATCATGAGTAAATCCCGAATGTTCAGCCCTGAGCTACTTTGGGGATTTAGGTTTTGCTTAGGTGTGCCCAATTCTTCCCTTTAGAAATAAGACAGTGCTTGTTTTGGATTTTATGGGAGCCCACAGTTAAGAGACTTTTAAAAGAGACTATGGACTTTTAAGTGTTTGGATTTTTTAAGGACTGTGGGACCTTTAAGGTTGTACTGTCTTATGTGGTGATATTATTAACATCATATCCTAAGGACAAGAAATGGAAAGGTTGTGGTTTAATAGTGATGTGT